CACTTTAGTGAAAAACACCTCCGCCACGTGAAGGCAGTGAGTAGGACTTCCTCAGGAGAGGCTATGTAAGACGCCCGGTCATATGGGAGCATTTCAAGAGGTGTGCGGAAGGGTGGCCAACCCGCAGCGCAAGACACCCACCCCGACCATCCTGAGGCTTTGGAGGCCTCCTACTTACTTCATTCGATGTGGTTAAAATATGCTAGGCCTTTCTTCATGTGAGTGGTAGCTACTCCCTAGAATTTCGACATTATCAAAGCAAATCTTATGTCTATATGTCAACTGGATACATTGTTATAGCTAATCTATTTTCTAGACTTTTTAGTACTATTTCATTCCTACGTGGATGTTTCGTGCACGTTTTGTGTTCCTCCATTTCGACCTTCACCTTTCTACTGCTCTCCCCTATATAGCAAGCTTCACATTCTAAACATTTTATCTTATAAACACAGTTGTTTTGTGTCATTTTGGAAACCATATCGTTGAAATTCAGCAAAGCTTTCTCTACAGAATTAGAGGGCTTGAAATAGACTTTCATATTATATGCAGCAAATAGTCTTTGAAGTTGTTCAGCTGTGTCCTTTCGATATGGAATAGCTGTCGTCAATAGCCAAGGTTTTCCAGCTTTCCCTCCTGTTTATTTCTATTAATAATATTATTTAGTAGCTTTTCCTGATAACCGTTTCCAATCAGGATTTGTTTTATATTGGGTATTTATTATTTTTAAAAATTTTTTTATAGCTTGACTGCACACTGTATTTTTGATGCACATATATAATATTCACCATGTACTATCGGTATACCAAATTTACCATGCATACCAGGTGTGCGTCGGCGGGGATCGAACCCTGGGCCATGTGCATGGTAGGCGAGCGTCCTAACTGCTGTGCCACCGTTCTCCATATCGTCATTATCTGTTATAATGTTTCTAACCCTATTGACGAGATTAAAAGCTATTGAAACTTTCATTCCTATTGGATGATCTGATTGGAAATTCACATAACTATTTGATTGTTTTGGTTTCCTGTATATCGTAAACTTTCATTTCTCGTCAGTTTGTCTCTTTACAAGACAATCCATATAGTTTAGAGTTCCCTCGTGCAATTCTGTTTCATTAGGAAACTTTATACATTTTGAGACTGAATCTGTGTTAGAAAGTGTTTTTCAGCTTTCTTAATAATGATGTGTTATCTACATATCTGTACCATATTCTACGATGATAACTAAAACTTTTCTTTCCAGAGCTTCCTTATAAAGATTTGATACAATAATACAACAATTTGTAGGTTATCTTCATATTGGGGTAGTTTGTGATCCCCTGTTTCTAAAAGAATAATGAGTGGAAGTATATTTCGTTCTATGGTAAAACATGGACCTAAATATCTTTATGCCAGTACTCGATTTCACAGTAATTTGGCTTAGTGTTGTTTGTTAATGGTTGTACTTCGCGTGTATATACAAGCATGTTTGTATGGGAATGCACTCTAGTTGTCATAACCGTGAATTTTGCTGTTTCCGTCCCGATGAATTTCTTGAGTAAACTAGTGCAGTATATCTTTAATACCTTCCTGTCAGGTCCCATACTATAGAAGGCAGAATGGGAGTTTAATGGTAAAGTAAACAAAACACCCTGGTCACTCCTGTTCTTATCAAAATTCTTGTATTATATTTGAAGGTTGTTAGTGAATAAATTTTATCCTAACCCTCTCACTTCCTCTCAAATTTGTCCATCTCCCTTGTCCTGATTTCCATCATCTGAAGCTTTTATTGTGTGGTGTAGATTATGAGAGTAGTAAATTTGTTTTAACAGCTGGAGTTAATTAGCTTCGTAAGGTTTATTTCACAGAGTTCCAGTTATGTTAACATCACTTACAGATGGTGATTTTCATCCATCCAACTTCTGGTGAACTTTCCGCCTTCGACACCTGGCCAAAGTAAAATACAAAGTGATCACATTCTTAATAGTTCAGATCATACCATGTCTTTGATCGTTGCGTTTAGTGCTTACTCCTTATGGTCGGCGTCCTGATTACCTTCTATACATAAAGGAAAATAATAAGTAAATTTTTACACGTACAACTAACTGTTACACTTGTTATGCCGTAATTATTTTATTAGTCCACTTAGTTTTCCAAATTCGTATTTTACAATAACTTCTTACTCCGTTAATTCACATAAATTAGTCCTGGGTCCGCATAACTCGTGTGCTTATGGCAATATTTGATTGTGTAACCATGGACATACTTCCAGTTTTGCACTTCTGCAAAATGTTTAGGATATTAATGCATCTGCGTCTTCCATTGAGAACGATTTAGAGCCATATTACCGATTATCTCCAGCCACTGGTTCTTACCATCCTGAGAACCCCAACCAGAAAGTCTACACCTCCCTACGTCGCTGGCTAAAACTAACTGTAATTGATTTCATTGACTGACGAAGCCATGTTCTAGTTTGACAACCACTAGCTCTTTCCCAACCTGGTCCATCCTATGTCAGTGACTAATATTGACTGTCGAGAAAGGTGGTGGCTAGGCACGCGCAATACATGTCTTAACTATCCCAATTGATGCAACCTTGTCGATTGATTTCCCCTTCTTACCTAGCACTCAACTGAAGCCTAACCTTAATATTGCTCACCTTATTATACCAATTAACACGGGGGGTAGAACTCAGACACATATTTTCAAAGACAGCTAACCTTTTCATGTCTTCCACTTCCAATAGCCGTCTCACAGCTGAACAGAAGGATGGAGCGAACTGGTGCGCAGTACACGCGTCCTCCGGTTGCCGACCGGATATTACGCCTGCACTATATTCTATATCTACGAAACTATTGACTGGTAAGACATCAAGGTTGACCAGCGTCACATGTCACATTAATATATGTATAATAAAATCAAATAAGAATAATGATACTGAACATCCCTAACAGTTCGTTGGATTCACTCCAAACGACAGCTGTCCATTATCCCTTCCGTGGCTGTATGAGTTCGATTAGAGTTTCTTGAGTAGCTGAAAAGTTTTTAACCATACCTCTGTAGCTAGACATTTATTTTTACTATTGTTATTACTTCTACTACATAGTACTTTTGGATCGATGAAGCCAAGTACTATCTTCAGGTAAAGAAATATGATAAGTGTTTAACGCCGGTATATCTGTGTTTTAGAATATGTTGAGGTAAAAATTTGACTGGTGAATACATGTTCGTTTCTGAAACTGGCCTGGTTTTCTTGAGACTTAACTACAAGCTTCGTTTATCTTTTAATTCATGGAAAATTCCCGTTGTAACATATAGAAAATCAAAACAAGTGGTGATTCAGCGAAGAGGCTCTTTTGAACGAATTTATTATCAAGCTGTACAATCCTATGTATATATATGGTTTTTAAGAAGTTATATCCAGTGAGAGAATTGAATCATGGGTGTGAATGCATAAAATGATAATAATAGTAGTATGAAATGCAATTAAAATATTTGTTATTATAGTCATAGCTAAATGCCAAGTGGCAAGACAATTGATGTCATATATAGAATAATTCATAGAATGGATAGAACTTGGAAGGGGTGTGCAATTATAGGACTAGTAGGCAAATCGAATAAAATAAAAACCTTACGTGACATTGTGTGAAATTCGATAACAGAATTTAACGTTGCAAAACAGAATTGATTTAAAATGACAAGTGGAACAAGTGAAATAATACTGGGGACAGTTCAAAGTGAGAATATTAATAGTAGTGACAATTGACGTAATAAAGGAAGAGTATATAAATTGAATAGACAAAACGAAGAAAATTGGTAGAACCAACATATGATTAGTGATTACCATACTTTGGCAGAGAGGGAGTAAGATTATGAAAGTTGGAGGGGTTGAACAAACTTTTTCTGTACACAGAGATCTGGCTTTTCTGTTCCGATGGTCAAAGCTTCAGCAATACAGATGAGTCGGATACATAGTGATTTTAGTAAATTACTTTTTGCCTTGTAGATGACTTGAAAGGCGGAGGCTATAGAGATAGGGTGATCATTATCGGCTAGTTCATTGATTGCACTTCTTATTGCTCCACTTCCACCTCTTCCTAACTATGCAGGATAGTGTTCTTGCACCCTCTTGGACAAAAATCGAGTCGAACGACCTATATACCTAGCTCCACACGAGTAGGTGAACTGATAAACACACAGAGTTGGTCAACAGCGGGATCTTGTCCTTCAGGTTATTGAACATTGATGGCCGACTGGTAAAGGCTATTCTGAAAGATGCAGCAGGGAATGTTCTTTTCAGGGACTGTGATATCCTTCTTTTGATGATATCAGAAGCTAAGTCACCTTTGAATTCCAAACTCATGCACAGTATTTTCTTGGGTGCGGATGATAAGTCACGTTTCATAGGATTTGAATGTATATTCTTGTCTATAAAACGTAATGGAAATCCATTTTGTATAAGGATTTCCCTCAAAAGATTTAACTCACTCTCCACAGTATTCAGGCTACATATGCGCCGAATGCGAGTGGCAAGCGACCGGACCAGGTTTCGTTTTCAACCAGTGGGTACCCAGCTGTATAAATCTGTCAGTTGACCATTCCATGACAGCTTTCGATAAATCGACTTTGAAGCCTAGGATCATGAATTCTATGGTAGTTAGGCCGGTCCAAATATTGCTTAATACGGGAAGATTTATCTCCTTTCTTATTAACCACCCTGATGGAATTATCTCAGATATCATACGCTATCTCATAACTCAGTTGTTATAGTTGAAAAATTGCCCTATTTTCAATAGTTTTCTAACTTTTATGAAAAAAGAATATATTTTTGTTTTGAAAACGACGACAGCACATGAAAGGTAGTCATAAAAAACGACAGTTTTTGGGGGATGTTATAAATCTGTCGTATTTTTCCTTAAAACCCTCTGAAGAATTTTCTTTTATGATTCTGAAAAATCAATAGTCTTTACTCTACGCTAAAGTTTTTCTTTCTTGCTCTTTTAGTTTCTTTACAAAGCCAAAATGCCGTCTAAACTTTCCAAATGGTTATCTTCGTACAAACCATCCTCGCGTGAATCAATGGATGAATTAATTGAATGGATGTATTCAAGTGCTAAATTAGTGGATGATATAGAAGAAACTTTTGAAAAATTAGTGTCCACCAGTGTTATTTCTGATGTATGTCAACGATTGTTTGCATTTTATAAATCAGGTTTACCACCTTTACAAAACTTTGTCATCCTTTTGTTACCCTCATTGTTACACACCTACTTATGTCATTCGTATGAAGACAATACTTCAGTCTTTCAGGCAAAGAAAAGTGTTTCAAGTCAAACAGAATCATCACAATCTTCACTTCTAATGAGTCTGAGTTTATTGGAATCTTGTCTGTTAAGTATATGCAATTGTTATATTGCAAAAAATGGCCCGATAAAAGGTGAATTTGAGTGTTTTGGCAGTGATATCAACAACTTCCGTCTGCCATCGCTAAACACACCATCAGTTTTTCACAATCCTGTGTCGATTAGAGAAACAATTGAAAGAACCGATGCTAATGTTAAGTGTGAAAATGATAATCAAAGCCCATTTCGTTTGTCAGCAATTATATGCCTAATTCAAAACTACCTTGAAATGCTGTCAACTCTGGATTTACAAAATCCTGTTGTATCTGTTTTAGCCTTTCACTCTTTATCAAGATTTTCAAAATTTTCTAGTCGTCTAGCCAGCCTATCAAAGCGTCCGCGTATTCCAACTTCATCAAGTTTATTAATGATATTGTTGAATTGTTCTGATCTTATTTTATTCAAGCTTGATAATCTGGATAAGTGTTCAACTACTACTACTTCTACTACTACTAGTAGTAGTAATAGTAGTAGTGGTAATCGTCCGATTGAATTTATTCGGTCTTCTGTGCTCGACAGTATTATAGAGATAAATAATCGTGCTGCGCATCATTGTTTCGCTTCATGTCTACTGGTATGTCAGTCATTGTTACACTATCGTGGTATTTATTATGGTTATCGTGATCGAAAGCCTAAGATAACAGATGCATTATTAACGCATGACATTGAAAATATACCAGGCTGTCGTAGTGCAGTTAGTGTTTCTGGTCAAGGTGCTCCTCTGATTACTATCAACGCTGTTGAAGATAAAACTTCACATCCAGAGTATACTGTTCGACCGAAACTTAGTTCTTCTACAACTACAGAAGTCTTTACAAGTGCTTCATTTAAACCGAAAGCTGTTTCTGAAGATATACCGCCTGTGAATGAAAGTCAACTGCGTAAAAATGAAAAAATGACTGGCTTGCTTATTGATACGAATATTACCAATGCTGGTAATACTATCAGTAATAATGATAACTTGAATGAATCACACTCAAAGAAAACTAATAATAATAGTAATAATAAGTCGAAAATAGGCGTTGATTTTAGAACTAAATCAAGTGATCAGAGAAAACATCATATTCCCGAAAAGGTTGTTGTTTACACACCGAACACACAGAACACTGAGTAATTATATTGTATTTTAATGTACATCTTCCCATTGTATATCACCTTGATTAGAAGGCTGTCTTTCATTTATACCAATAATATATATACATATATTACTCTTCGTAATATTATTTTACATCATAAAAAAAAATAAAGAACTAGTCGAGACTTGTCAAATCGTTGGTTGTTATTTTGTAATTACTGTATACATTCCTTGGAAAATTACATTTCTTCAGTGTCCAGTAACTTTAGCCTCCTTCCGCTTCTATTGTCCGTCTATATATATAGATATATAAACGGCTTCCTCCTCCTTGTTAGACAGGCTCTGGTTGAAAGCTTAACAATATATTAGTACCTGTGTGTATAAATAATTAATTAACTCGCTCATCAGATGATTGTAGGTGAGGAGAAATTTCTCAGATTTCTTTGCCAACCTCGAGTAATCTTTCAATATTTTTTTTGTTTTTCTTTTAATTAATTAATTTTTTAAAATTTATTTATTGATTTACTGCTGTTTATAAAACATTTAGTAGTAGTTAGTAAATAGAAGTTTGGTGTTTTTGTTTTTTGTAATGAGAGAGAGAGTTATCTTCAACGTATTTTGTAAATTCTCCTCAGTTTTCTTTTTTTTTCTTTTTTTGTAATATAAGAAAATACGTCTACATTAAAAATTTGAAGTCTTTTGAATGTCTAGTCCGGCGGCAGAGAATGGAGTGTTTTAGATCAGGAGAAGTAAGCAACAACTGTAGCTTAGATTTTGAGATGATTCATCCTGAGATTTTGATTGTTGTTGTCAAGCGACAGCAAACAAATTTAATAATTCCCATTGTAGCATTAAGAACACAATATTCAGCGAAGAGACTCTTTTCAACGAATTTATTATCAAGCTGTACAATCGTATATATATGGTTTTTTTTAAGAAATTATATCCGGTGAGGGAATTAGGTCAAAGGTGTGAATACATGAAATAATAATAATAAAAGTAGTATGAAATGCAATTAAAGTATTTGTGATTACAATTATAGTTAACTGTCAAGTAGCTAAACAATCAATGTCATATATAGAATAATACATAAGGTGTATAGATGTTGGAAAGGGGTGCGTAATTATAGGATCAGTAGGCGAATATAAAATGTTACATAAAATGGTTTGAAATTTGATACGATGGAATTCAATACTGTAAAAAATAAAAAATTAATAATTTTGGGTTTAGAATGACAAGTGGGACAAGTGGAAACAATTCAGAGTGAGAATAGTAATAATAATAACCGTAGTAATAAGGGAAAGGTACATAGAATAACTAAATAAACAAAAATAAATAAATATCTATCCCTCTACGGCCAAGGCAGAAGTAGGGATTGTACATACATACACGAAGGTCTGGCTTAAAGTCATGAATTGCCAAGGCCTCAGCTGTCTTTAGAAGTCTGTAACGAAGAAAGCACGGGAAGTTAGCATAGATTCTATATATGACCTTAAAATCATGGTCAGGGTTGACAGAGTGGCAGAAGTCGATCAGGTGTTCCAAAATAGAGCTTCGCACACACTTCCTTTCTCTCCTATAAAACCAAGCTGGAATGTTCTCGTATCCGTGTGGAAAGCGTCCTCCGACTACGGCCAATGTACCTAGCTCCACAAGAGCAGGTGAACTAATAGATGCACATGGAGGCGGCCAGACGGGGGAGCTTATCTTTTACAGAGGTGGAGAACAACTTGCGGCTAGTGAAAGTCATATGTAATTTTGCTGCATAGAACGTCTTACTGACTGATTCAGAGAGACGATTTTTGAGCATATCTGAAGCTTGATCACCTTTGAATTCCAAATTCATAAATAAGGTTTTCTTTGGAACTGTGTCGGTAACCAGTCTAGACTGCTTATCTTTCATGCTGCTGTCAATAAATCGGTTAGGGTAACCGGTTTCTGCCAGCCTGGCTTTTAAGAAGTCAATTTCTTAAAAAAAACCATATATATAGGATTGTACAGCTTGATAATGAATTCGTTGAAAAGAGTCTCTTCGCTGAATATTGTGTTCTTAAAGCAAACAAATTGTCGATGGAGTAAGTTGTTTGAAAATATGACTTAGGTCTCTGCTACCCTTGTTGTTTAACAATACTGCATCTAGAATTTCTAGCCAGTAATTCTAAGTACTTCATGGAACCATGGTGGATTCAAATCACAACTAGTGATTTTGTATATATTAGTGAGTTTCCTGTATCCTGGTCAATGCAAACGAAGAGTCCCAAACTGGGATGAAACAGCTGTCCGGAACTCCCAGGTTTTCCAATGTTTCTCTAACTGATGTCAGCCCATGATGAAATCCTTCAACCAATCAAACAAAATTCTCTACAAAAATTAATACTTGAAAAATGCAAATAAGAGTTAATTTCCTGAAAGGCAGTTAACATCTCTGTCATTGGGCCTAAAAATGAGAATGGAATGACGATCAGAATGGTGGATTTTCCCCTGTAAATACCTATTCAACACCAACTAGTACCTTAAACTTGTGCAAAACTAAATTGTATAGAAAAAATATCGCACCAACATAATCAGAGCTTCTTTCGATTAAAAAAACCCAGCTAAAGTAGGGCTGCGTCGGTGGCATAGCGGTTAGGACGCTCGCCGACCATGCACATGGTCCGGGGTTCGATCCCCGGCTGGCGCACTCCTTTACCTTGCTAAGCCAGAAATAATGCTGGTGAAGAGGAAAGGTTGGGCATGAGGCTAGCAACTCCATCCTGTAAAATAAACACTACTACAGAAACTTCAAGCCACTACCTTGAAGTCTTATGTTCCACTGGGGAACGTGAGGGAAAAAAAGTAGGGCTATTATGCATGAATAGGTGCCCCGCTTAACTGTTGTTGATATCTCAGAATTGTATATATAACAGCGTAAATGTAACCACAATATCACTTTTGAAATTCGTTCATATGGTAGTTAGGTAGTTACGCTACTTTTCGAAAATTCAGTATGCATTACATTGCTTATCAATTAATGTAATTTAGCACATTAACGAATACATATGAATATTACTCATTGGTTTGGGTACTGAATTCATATTTCATAAGTTAATTATTAAATGTCACATATTATGCAATCTGTAACCCATAAAGTAAACCTCAGTTGATTATGGAAGTATAGACGGAAGTTCAAAGGACTTAAAGATCAAATGTAAGTATAAAACTTGGGCACTGTGTTTGAGTATAACTCTATTATAGATAAGATTTGATTTTGATAAATCACATAGTGTTCAACAGTAATATTTAATTGATGACGTTTTGAGTACAAACTATTGACGCTCATAATCATATCAAGGCCCTCACTCACACAACTTTCTTACTTCATTTATATACATGAGTGAAATTGATGATTAGACATTTGAATAGAAATCAGTATAGGAGAATGTACATTCAGAAATAATAATACGAGTGTTACTGATCAAAATACAATCAGATGGGAAATACGACGAGTGCTTTTATAGTCAAAATAAGTAACTTGTTAGAATGTTGTGATGTACGTGAATTGAAATAGGATTTTGAGATTATTTATTATCCTCCTCTGATTTGACTGGTGGCAATAATATCTTCTATATCTCTGGTATTTGCATCGAGTTACAAGTTACTTCTTTTGACTATAAAGACACTCGTCTTATTTCTCATCTGATTGTAATTGATTAATAGTACTCATATTATTATTTCTGAATGTACATTCTCCTATATTGATTTTTATTCAAATGTCTAATCATCAATTTCACTCATGTATATAAATGAAGTAAGAAAGTTGTGTGAGTGAGGGCCTTGATGTGATTCTGAGCGTCAATAGTTTGTACTCGAAACGTCATCAATTAAATATTACTGTATAACACTGAAATATGGCACTTAATACATTTAATCCTACTCCAAAAATATGGTGGAGATATGTGGATGACACTTTCACAGTGTTAAAAACAGAACATATCTCTAGCTTCTTGACACACATAAACTCATTAGTGGAGGGAATAAAATTCACATTTGAAACCGAAAACGAGCAAGGAGAATTAGCTATGTTAGATTGTAAAATAAAACGAATAGAAGAAGGCAAACTACACACTAGTGTTTATAGAAAACCAACGCATTCTAATAGATATTTAGACTTTAATTCATCTCATCCTTTAACTGTTAAGGCAGGCTTAGTTAAGTGTTTAACAAACCGAGTAATAGCACTAAGTAGCACAAAAAAAGACCTTAATGATGAAATAAAACAGATAGAAGAGGCGTTGGTGTTAAATAACTATCCTATAAAATTCATTAGGAAGATTGAGAAACGCCAAAAGAAAAATAAAAAGAATTGTGAAACTAGTAGTAATAAAATAAATAAGAGAGAATATAAGTCATCTACAGTTATACCATATAAAGAGGGGACATCTGAGACCCTACGTAGGATTCTAAATAAAGCAGGAATTAGGGTGACATTTAAACCTACAAACTCACTCAGGGACAAGCTCTGTAGGTTAAAAGACCCAGTGGACCCAATTAGACAAAATAATATAATTTACAAAATACCCTACAATGACTGTTAGGTCAACTACATAGGTCAAACTAGTAGGTCAGGGGTAGTCAGATTGTCAGAACATAAGAATTTAGCTAAGATAAGAATGGTTGACCCAGAGAAGATAAGTAATTTAGAAAAAAGCTCGGCAATTGCAATGCATGCATTAACACACAACCACACAATAGGGTGGGAGAGGGTTAAACTTCTAAAAAGTAATCTAGGTAGGTGGAGAGAGAGGTTGATTATGGAATCCTTATTCATCGAGTCTACACCCAACACATGCAATAGGAATGAATCATCACTCATACACGAAATATGAAAAATATTACTACCAATCAAATCAAGTGAAAAACAATGGAACTATATAAATGAATTTAGGAAGTCGTGTGATTACCTTGATATGAT